TTAGAGTCGAGGGAAATGACGAAGCAAAATATTCTGAATCGCCTGCATTGCGCAATAATCACACAAAAAGGAAATTTGGTTTAGGCAGGAATACTCTTTCCGGAAGTCTGATGATCTGGGCGAAGTCTCCCATCAACGGCCTGCCTCCACCTTTCGAGGATATTTCAGAAGAGTTTATTTAGGAAAACCCGTACCAAAATCACTGAAGTACTCGGTCTTCCGACCCCTTTTAAATATGGGTATAATTACTTCAAACTTCAATTTTCCAGGGAACCGTTTCAATGCCCACATTTGACTAAATAAGGAATGAAGCTTTCCAGCCATTACCGCTTCTCCATACTTATTTAACCCTGGAGGAATTCGATCCATTCCGCAGGTCCTGTTTACCTGAGGTATAGCCAGGATTTCCGAATTTTCAGTTTAGCAGGTGTATTTGAATTAGCCACTAGTCCTTGCACAAAACTGACGGTGAAGAGGGAGAAATCTGGAGAAGAGCCGTTGAGCGGCTGGTGAGAATGATTCAAGCAAATACGACACCGTTAATGCCTTCGATGAGGATGGACTCTGTTTCGAGTTCCCAGCTAATCAGACAACTGCTAATTGACAGTCGGCCTTTCGGACTGTCTTATCAACCTTTCTGATTTTCCTCTTCATCCAAAGTTTCCCGTCTGGCCTTCTGGTCTGATTCGGTGCACAAACGAAACGGCAAAGGACTTTTAATCGGGTGCAGTACAGTGCGAAAATACTCCTTCTTAGCTTCGTTCCTCTGTATTCAAAAAGCGACAACGTCCTCCGTTACCCATGGCAGTCGGCTTATCTTTATCTTGAATCCAACGACGTTTATCGTCGAAGAAATGACACATTGTTTGTGGCCGTTGTACGCTTCATCGATGTCGGAATATGGACACTAAAGATGGCGTCAAAATAATTTTCTACCTCGTTTCGGTACACTTACCTCATATTTCTGCCTGTCAAGATCGACAAGTCGCTGTGCAAAACTTGGAATATCCACACTTCAATGTACAAATCTTCCCTCGGCGGTTCCTCATTTCGCTAGAAAGTATTTCTCTACGCTTCAGAAATTCAAGAAAAATTTTCACTTGCCGAATATTGACATATCTTTGAAAATCTGGTTTCGATTTTCCGCTTTTCTGAATATGGAGAAAAGGAAAGTTGGTCAAGGTTAGAATGTCGATCTTCCTTCATTTTCATGATCGGATCATTTCGGCGTCCTTCCTTTTATAATGTTGACAGTGGGGACCGAACTCCGTTTCTATATCATCAGCCACGAGTGCGTTATTTTTTAAAGGCAGAGTGTACAGCCATGTGGCAAGCGCAGCGTGTAATCTCCTGTTTCCTTGCCACAGAATTGTACTCGTTTATCAACCTCGGATAGAACAAAACCGAGTAACCCTGACCTAGGCTCGAACTCGGGACCTATCGATTCCGAGTTAGAAGCTCTACCGACTAAGCAAACCCAGTCTGAAATAATGTGCAGTAAGTTCGTTGCTGAAGGGAATTCGTGAATAAGACAAAGACTGTCCTACAAAGGAACTGAACCCGGCCTTTCCGATGACCCGTGCAGGTCGAAATAGATATTCTTGAACATATGTAATATTGATTCGATTTGTACATACAAGGTATCCACTCAGAATTTAGCATTAATGTTGCATGTTACGTATAGAAGAATATCGATTCGGTTCATATATACTCCGCTGTTATTGCTATCCTTTCGTAAAGAAAGTGTTTCGATGAACGGAATTCGGTTCGATTCAAACTGTCTGCCTCAGATTCTCGTGTTCTAGTTTAAAAAGTCAATACCGATTATGAAATCGATTTTCTGAAGCTTAAAATGATGTCGTTAAGGTTTTGTGTCTCGAAAATGAATCACTTTCGAAGAGCATGCAAAAAACGAACTAATCCTGAAATGAAGATTACTGAACTGCAACGACTTGTACACAACATGATTAACGACGAACCGCTAACGACCAGGTTCTAGCAGATGCGCTACCAAATGATTAGCAAATCCTTCAAAGATTCTATGTGCCGCGTAACTTTCAAACCGAGACTTCAACAAGAAATCTGCATGGATTTGCATCAGCACTCTGACGCCATCCATTCATTTACTGCAGCGTAGTGCAAATTATGCTGTTATTAATCTCAGCATGAAAATCGCCCATCGCCAGTGTTTTGATCCACCATGACTCTGGGTCAGCTTTAAGGTCGAGGCCTGTTGTCTAGAGAAACTCGTAGCAGTTTTGTTATTTATCTTTTCTAACCTCAAATGACAACGAAAATAGCAACAAGTTGCAGTTGGTGGTTAAAGAGAGGAGGATGAGTTATTGACTGATTTCAACAATCAGTAAGAAATTACATTTTTACATGTCGAATGTCAGCATCAAACGTACTTAAGTAAAATATCTATGCAATCCTGACCGATGTAATTGCGAAAAAACAAAAGCAGCACTAACACATCAATATATGGGCAATTTAGCAAAGATGAAAAGGGCGATGCAGATTTGTTGGCAATAACTGAAACTGTTTGAACGTTGATAATGAGACAAACGATGATAATGAGTACGAACGAGTTACAATAATGAGGTAAGTGCAAGTACGCCTACTTTACCTTGTGCTTCAAACGTTCAATCATAATGCGGTGTCAATTCATGCACAGCAAATACTCTAGCATTGCTGAGCTGTGCCATATTAAAAAGTTCCCTATTTCGAAAGGTCCCTATAAATGGAAGTACGATACATTACTTATTACAGAAAGTTTTCACCTTCGCCGCATGCCCTAACCTGCGGTTCTAAAACGAATGTTTCATTATTAAACCCGAATTATGAAAGTAATTTTGCATAAAAGTAAATACTTCATCTCAAAGGCATTTTACCTGGT